GGACACTGGCCGCCTGACCCAGGGAGCTCGCTCACCTCAGTCATCCCAGCTGCAGAATGGGTGCGAGCGAGGCGGACCGGTTAGTCACGCGGATTTTTCTCAATAGATGGAGTTACACACGTGTCGACACATATGCCATGTGACACGGGTGCTATTTTATTGTGCTGCTCCCTCAGATGACCACTGTTCCGATCGACGGCACACGCGCTTTCTGAGCAGCGCTTCAACACGTACGAAGACGTGGAAAACGGGGTCTCTGAATGGTCTCCTCAAAACAAGAAACGTTCTATTGGGACGGTCTCCACAGATTCCCTGAAAGATGGGGAATGTGTAGCAGGCGATGGACATGACTTTGAAAAAAGCACTTTCGATCTTTCTCTTGAAATTATCGTGTTTTATTTGATGACAAAATCCGCACTATTAACCAGTAAAGGGTCAATCCGCATTTTTAACCAGTAAAGGGTTAATTTGTATTATTAACCGGTTAATAGTTAATACGTATTATTAACCAGTTAATAGCTAATCCATATTATTAACCGGTTAATTAATCTGCATTTTAACTGGTTAATAATTAATTAATCCGCATTATTAACCGGTTAATGGTCAATCCGCATTTTTAACCATAATAATGCGGATTTTGTCATCAAAGAAAACACGGCAATTTCGAGAGGAACATCCGAAGTGCTTTGTTCAAAGGGCTGCCCATCACCAGCTAGCGCTCCCCCACCTCCCAGGCCATGTGTGGATCCGTCCAGTAGAACCTTCCAGGTGAAGGCTGATGCCGCCGCTCACCCTCCCAGGCGCCCGGGATGGAGGCGGCCCTGAGGGTGGAAGGGGAGACGAGAGGGGAGCCAGGGGAGGGGGCTGGGGGTGACTCGGTGCCCTGGCCGCCGGGGACGAGCCAGAGGACCGGGGAGCACCTCTGAGCGAGCCGGCCTGAGAGTGTGGGAAAGGCTCCCCAGGACCCAGGGGGACACACGGACAGAGGGGACCATGCCCCTGGCAGGGAGGCTAAGGCCCTGCCTCGGCCCTGGCTGGGTCACTGGGCCCCGGGGGAGAATCGAGAAAGCTCAGCTCTGGCCCAGCTCCACGCCGCTCAGGTAGACAGGAATTAAGAAACAATATTTGTGTTGGCAGCAGACATTTGCCGAAAGGTTAAGTCCACACCGGCTGGGGCCTGCCCTTCTCCTGCATGCTTAGCGGACCGGTCGCCCGGCCCTGCACCCACGCTGAGCAAACAGGTGGGGCTGGCCCACGTCACTAGGGGTCCCCAGCAGCCCTCCTGGAGGGGGCACACGAAAGCCTCGGGGTCCCGGGGCTGCCAGGGACATGGGGCTCAGGTGGGTAGGATGTGGCCTGGGCAGTGGAGGCCTTCAGACCCCACCAGTTCACGCGGGGGGGGGGGGGGCGCCCTAGAATCCACCCCCCGAGCTGGGGTCAGGGCAGGTCCTGGCTGTGCCGCCGGGCGCACATCCCAGCGGAAGACCTCCTCTGGGCCAGGGCCCGGAGGCAGACGCCATGCAGAACTGTCCTCAAGTTGCCCCGAGCCCAGGAGGGGGGACAGGCCAGGGCCTGCACGGGGCACCGGGAGGCAGCTGTGAGCCAAGCTGGTGGGGTCCTGCCCTCAGGGAGTTTGCCGAGGAGGGAAAGCCAGGAGCCGGGCAGGGGTGGGAGGTTCATGTCAGGTGTGAGAAAGAGCGGGGTTCTGTGGGATGTGTAGGAGCTCACCAGGAGGACAGGGGTAGGGACTGGGTGTCATGGACTCCCAAGCCCTCCTGGAGGAGGAGGTGGGGTGTCAGGGGCTCAGCAGGAGCAGGTGTGGGGAGGTGCTCCCCGTTGCGCTGGCTGAGCACCCAGGCTGTCTCCCGGCGCCGTGGGAGCCACAGAGGGCTGCGGAGCAAGGAGACGCTGTGCTCACAGCACCGTTAGGGCAAGTCCGGGAGGAGAGGGGCTGCGATGAAGAGTGGGCGGCCCCCGAGGTTCTGGGAGGTGCCGGGGAGGTGGACAGGGGTCACAAGGTGACCAGCTGGGTGGACCTGCTGGGCTGGGGCTGGAGACGGGCCTCGGGCTCCTGCTGTGTCCACTTGGTCCCCCTGGGCTGCGGACGCAGAGGGCCCATCTCCAGTGGCCGCACACCAGGACCACCCCCGCTGGAGGGAGCGGCTGGTCGGCGGGTCCCCCAGTTCACCGTCCACGCCCTCCCTGCTGCAGGCAGCCAGGGCCCATGGGCTGCGGGGCCCTGTGGGGAGCTGGTGAAGGGAAGACTCATCTACAAAGACAGGCTCTCCTCCGACCCCCACGGTGCAGCCTGGTCCCCGCGTGGTGTCGGGCGCCTGCACCAAGACGCAGGTTCTGTGTGGCGAGCCCCAGTGGGTGCCTGGGTAGCGCCTCCCGGTCCCCGCCTGTCACCCCACAGTCCCCAGCCCCACGGAGCGCCCGCAGGAGAGGGATGATTCAGAGCCGCCAGGCCGCCCTGCGGTGGGTGACAGTGGCGGCAATTAGATTTAATGGGACAGAGCCCTTTCTCCCGCCTCCCTCAGGCGGCAGCAGGCGGGAGAGGGATGTGAGGGAGGTGGGAGGTGGGGGACCCGGGGGGACTCTGACGTCAGCTCAGCCTATAAGAGGCCGCCTGGCCCGGCCGAGGGCTGTGGAG